TATGTATTTAAAAGAAAAATAAAATTATTCGTCTGATTCTATAGCAAAATACATTTTGCGATCATTCCTCACACATTTGAACCCAACACTAGCCAAATCGAGTTACAAATCAAGAGTCCCTACTTCAAATCTCGCGAATAAATTCAATTTGAGTTTTGCATGTACTTGTTTACGAACACACAGACAACAACCCTTACAACGCCGGGCACGCGTCGACTTCGGACACAAGGGGATGGTCAGTCTCCTCTATTGTAATTGACGTGCTCTGTTATTTTATTATTTCTGCTCGTGCATATTTTAGGGTTACAATAAAAGACACTACCAGAGAAAATCAATATTTTATAACAATTATCTCTTGGACACAGTTGTTTGAATATTTTATAAAGAGAACAGGAGAAAATATTTGATAGAAAAAGTTAAGAAAAATAACTTTTTATGGGATAGAGAGGTAAACGAGCCGACGTATTTCCCCTTATTTTTTTTAAAGTCAAAGCATTTATTTCAATTAAACCATAATCTGGTACTTTTGAAACGTCAACGTTAAAGGGGGAAAATCATCAAATGACTTCTCCCTCCTGAGTGAGGCGGGAGGGAGTGTCAGACTCTTACTGACTAGAAACCACCCCGTTCATACTCCTGCCCTTCGAGCCGGAGCCCCAGCAACCCATTATTAAGTCCTCCGTGGCGCCGTATTGGCATCAGCCATATTGGGCCCCATCCGTGGTGGTCTGAAGGCTCTTTTAGGCGCACGCGGAACGCGACGCGCCGTACGCTTGGGTCTGGTTCTGGCCGGACGGCGAGCTACTCATGGTCGCCGTCCGCAGGCCCGTGATATTCCACCTAATAGTAAGCAATCTGAAAACGCTTTAACTTATCTACATATTTTTTTAAATAGCTCGGTACGTTTATGATGTCGCTTAGCTAAACATTCATCTTTTTCTTTTATGTTATGTAGGAGACTTCTCTTCTACTACAGATATTAATAGATTCTGATTTTATTATATAGACTTCTTTGATGTTTAAACATGAGATAATCTTTACTGGAACAAAGTGACTACATGCAGAATATAACGGATAAGATAAGGTCAACCGCAAACTGTCGGCTGCAACTTTAAAATCTTCACGATTCCGAATTTTTACTTAATTAATCTGTTTTGTTAGTAGCTCTGATTTATATTTTGAAAGATACATAAATGACACAGTTAGTCAGTCTTAGAATAACATAGCTCTTATCGCTTCGAATAATAGAACAGAAAAGGCTTTATAGTACTCCAATAAATAATAGATATGGGTAGGTACAAAGGCAAAATAAAACACTACTCTTACTACGAACTCTTTTACTGGATTTTGGTGTTACATTGTTCTCGCATAATCGAACCAACAAAACTATGTAACTAGATAATTGAATTCTGAACCTGATTGAACAAGACTAACCTGTGGACTTTCTTGCTCGTTCTTCTCTATTGGAATCTACACCTTGGAATGAGAAAATAGCTTCAATTGAAATTTTTTGTTGACGTTCAAAAGTGCCTTTCTGGTCTAATTGAAATAAATGATTTTGACTATAACTTTGACTACGATGAATCATTCAAAACTGGCTAAATTTGGAATAACTGTATTATTTGGAAATCTATATTTTCGTGAATCAGAGTTTTGAGTTGCGACAAAATAAATATTTTCCTTTAAGCAGTCGGTAGTCTGTGCGCTCCCATAATGAGGCTCCCCCACCTCTGCCGGTGGGTGTCGTGTTGTACCCATGAATTTATGGGGATGGGCAGCGCTCTGACGTGGCCTATTAATAACATTTACCGATCATGTTGTCTAGTCGCCCTAGATAATTATTACCTTGGGAGCTAAGCTAGCTTGTCATTGATTATAATTTAATCTTTAAGCTATAGTTAGTTACGTTTTTTAAAGTTTGTTATGACCATGCAATAATGTTCTCTCAAAATAAATCGTTCCTTTGACAATTAATGATTAATGTTAACACAATTGCGAACGCGCAACGTGTCGCGGGTTCGATTCCCGCACGGAACAACTCTTTGTGTGATCCACAGATTGTTGTTCCGGGTCTGGGTGTCATGTGTATGTGAACTTGTATGTTTGTAAACGCACCCACGACACAGGAGAAAATCCTAGTGTGGGGCAAAGTTTAAAAAAAAAAAAAAAATTCCTGACTCGGCTATTTTATCTCTGTGTTTGACAGTTTAATTTGCCCTTAACATTA